AATTGGCCCCTTTTTCTTTTTTGTAACTTATATAATAAGAAGGTGTTAAATTTTATGTTGCCAAGGTTTATTTAATTACTATTTATTTCACAATATTTTAATATTTTCCAGTCCTTACAGATTCTTGGTGGCATGCAAAAAGGTCAAGTTAAAATATAGAACATTCATAAGGAAGTAATAGTATCAGCAGAATTTTTAAACAGTAAATCTCACTTTGAATAATAAGTAGATGAGAAAGTTTAGGAACATTTTATATTTTATTTTTCAAGTACTAATTAAGAGTTGTGCTTGTGCTTCCCTTGCCTTTAAATATAGTTGAATCTAATTTTGTTAATCTGAAGTAAGCATATACTTCAAAGTTGTGGTGATATTTCCAAATGCAATCTAGAAATTTGAATCTATTTTATCTATTTTAAAGTTATTCCTTATTGACTTTGGGTTGGCCAAAAAGTACCGGGATAACAGAACAAGGCAACACATACCATATAGAGAAGATAAAAATCTCACTGGTACAGCTAGATACGCAAGCATTAATGCACATCTTGGCATTGAACAGAGGTAAGTGTTCAAGCAATTTCTGTAATGACATTAGGCACTGTAAACTGGGAGTGGGAACTTGTTAAACTCTAGAAATTGCTGAATTGTTTCTAATATCCTTTATTATTAGGTTGCCAGATAGGGCTGCTGAGATTGTAATGTAGTAACATTGGGAAGACCACAGATTCCCTACCAGTGCCATAGTATTTGGGATCTTTAATTATTATTTTATGGCTAAGAAAGGAAAATCAATTAAGATGTTCTTACAATAAAGCAAACGTTTGCATTGTGAAGCTTATAGACACTAAAATATCCACAACAAGTATGTTTTTTAATATTTCTATCAATTTTATCCATACCTGCATGCTGCAAATGAAATCATTTGCTTATAGCAGAGTGAATACACAACATAAAACCATCCTTAGATGGTTTCTACAAAACTCCGAAACTGAATAAAAATGTAAAAGTGGAAACACTTTGCATCAGAAGTAGCGTATATTTTCAGATTAAAATATTTTCTAAAGACTTTATATCTTAAAAGATTTCTGTGTTTTTATCCTCTTAAGAGATTGCCATTTTTAAAATAATAAAATAATTTATTTTTGGTGTGTATGATATTAGACAATGGCACTTCATGCCTAATAAGATTCTCAGCCCTGCATTATAGTACCTTCAGGTGAAGTTAACTTCTTCCTTAACAGACCAGGAGTTTTCATACTTGTTTAATGATATGTGAATCATAATTTATGAATCGGTGCCTTTTCTTTCATTCTGGTGATATTCTGTAATTTTTTAATTGTGTTCAACCTCTTTTAATGTAGCACTGTTCAGTTGGTATTTTGGACTTACATGTTGTCTTATTTTGTTAAAACTGTCAACAAATGCTTTAAAAGGGGAAACTTGCATATTGTTTTAAATTACTGTGGTTGTCTAAAATGTATAATTATGTGCAACATTTGTGCTTCTGGAAAGATGATTGTTGGATATCATCTGAGCCTTTGTTGGCATTACACTATCAGTCATCAAATATATGAAAGTTGGATTATTTCTGCAATCAATATTTTCATAATTTTTCAAAATTCACATGTTAAATGTAGCTTTCAAATGTTTTCATTTATATTTTGTGGACAATAAGAATCAGAATCATTCACAGTGTTTATGCTATTATGTGTTGTGCTATTATATATACACAATTTCTATGCTTCCATGATCTCACAGTTGTACAGTGTCAAGATAGATGTGGGTCTGAAAGGAGCTCATGTAGCATGTTTTATGCACAGTCTTTGACCAAAGTGGAAAATGATTCTAAGATGAGGGAATATAATTTCAGCAGTCATTGAAGTCCAAAGTTAATATTTGCTTTTGCATATAAATATGTATATTACCAAAAAATGCTTGATCAAGAAGATTATTTTCTTCTCCCAGTACTCCATCCCAGGATAAGATAAAAATTAGGAAGTTAACATTTGGTAAAGAGAAAATGCTATTAAAATAGCAAGATATAAATTCTGATATGCCAGGAAAGCTTGTATGCGCTTTTCTATAACAGTTAAGCAGTATGCTAAAATTTGAAGTGCACAGTTAAATCGTCTCCGTTAAAAAAAACAAAAACTAGAAGAAATAATGTATGCATAATTTCAAAATTCTCCAGATAAGTTTGTTAAATCTTATTTATTACTGATGCGTGTCAGTGTGTTGCAAATGTTACTAACAATTCGTGTTCATAACTTGTTGAGCCCTGAGAAGTGATGTGATGCAATTTAAGAATAAGCACATATAACTGACTTTTTTCCCCAGTCGTCGTGATGATATGGAGTCACTAGGATATGTATTGATGTACTTCAACAGAACCAGCTTGCCGTGGCAAGGATTAAAGGTACGTTACAGAGTTGTAAAAGACAATACTAAACTGTTGGACAAGCACAATATTGAATGTTTGTCATTCAAATACTGTGAAATCGATAGCATGTCTGGTATGATATGCCAGCTGAAACTATGCTGAAGTATAATCAAAGTATGCGCCAGGCTGCTTCTCTCCCCTCCCCACTATATATTTCTGACAAATGTCTTACAGGTAGAAGATCCTCAGAGAAAGACATTAGGGATGAGATAGCCTTAGAGGCCATCGTCTAGTCTCAATAATCATTCTGAGAAGTTATTGGAAAGGATGCCTTTTCCAGAGAACAATGGTTATCCTGAGGCCTTGCTTAGATTATTTCAGCTTCTCCATCTTCAAAAGGATTATGGATGGGGACTTAAAAAATAAGGAGAGATATAAATTTGTAGAAACACATACTCATTCACTCATACTCATTGAGATAGTGTGCAAGTGTGCATGAGAGAGAAAAATATGCTGGTACTTTCACAAGGGGTTATATAATTCAGATGATCATCTTGAGTTCACTGATGGTAGGCACTAGCAATTTGCATTGGAAATGTTAAGCTGTCAGATGCAATCTAATACAAGTGCATTATGGGATTTCTATACTTATTCATCATCTGACAAAAATACTAGAAATAGCCAAATAAGATAATCCTATCATGAAGTAATTGGGCTGCAATAAATGACACTCTGCTGCTTTAAAGCTTGCAAGAAAGATTTGCAAGTGCATCCTCTTTGCAGTGAATTCTGGAACTTGGAGGTAATCATCTGGTAACAGAAGTAGTATCGTGACATTTATATTTATCCATATTTTCTACAGGCTGCAACAAAGAAGCAGAAATATGAAAAGATTAGTGAAAAGAAGATGTCTACTCCCGTTGAAGTTTTGTGTAAGGTACAAACTATTTTTAAAAGTTTTACATATTTGGCAAGGAATCATGTTTTCTTTTGTAAGTAACCCAGTCATTTTTGGATGCTATAGTTATTATCAATATTAAATAGATGTATGATTCTCTGTACTAATGGAATTGTCTTTATAGTGTTTATAGCTAGTCTATCTTTAATTTTCAGTGTCACTTTTTCTTTTCTTTTTCTGGGTTACTTCCCATTTTCTTAAAAAAAGAATGCCAAAGAATTGAATTTCTGGATATAAAAGTGGCAGGGAATTCTGCCTATAACTCTTGCTTTGATTGCTTCTGTTTACAGGGATTTCCTGCAGAATTTGCAATGTACCTGAACTACTGTCGTGGCCTGCGCTTTGAAGAAGCTCCTGATTATATGTATCTGAGGCAGCTATTTCGTATCCTTTTCAGGTTGGTCTTGTAGGATACTTCATGAACATTCAAATAGAACAGTTTTAACAACGATGTTTGATTCATTTGGTTAGCTTTGGTAAATAACCTAGAACACTCCACTATTTTGGATTCTCATTCCCATAATTCCTCACCATTGGCTATGCTGTCTGTGGGTTTTGAAAGACGTGTCCAAAACATTTGGAGAACAACAGGTTTCTGAAACTGTGCCTTAGTTCTAGAAATAAACCTTAGATCAGAAACTAAACTAAAGTGAAACTAAGCAACATTTTGTTATAATAAAGTACACTCTGTCATGTCACATTAAATTGCATTGGGTCTGTAAGCAAATTTCCCCTATTTGACAGACGTCTGGCTGAAAATATAAAAATTATGGAAAGAAATTTGGTTATTCTAGAAATCGACTTCATTGGGAAGAGCTTGTTTCCTGATATAGTATCAAATTTATTTTGTGTCTGAGTAACCCGCCTCAAGTTGCACTCTGGTGTCTGTTTTGTGACTGGCTATACTGGTCAGGTCAGCCATCTTGGAACTAAGCAAGCTGTATTCTACAGCAGCTATTTTGTGAGGTATTTTCTTTGGTCCACAAAGGTTGGTTTCAGTTCAGCATAAACTATACTTGAAATTAGTGCTGTGTTGTAATTGTTAGCGAATCTTTATTTTTGCCATACTAAATTGCTCAAAATTAATGTTAACTGCAGAGGAGGTTGGAGTGATCAAAATCACAATAGCCATACATGGTCGTTTGCAGAATTGCAAAAGTTTTTCCCTGCTCTTAGTGAACCTAATGCATGGTTCAACTAAAAAAAGGGAAACGGAGATGAAAATCAGTGTTTCCCTTTCCCCTGTTAATCGGTGGAAGAGCTTTACACTTTATGCATGGGACTCTTTCAACCCCAGCCAAAGCTTCTGCAATTCTAAATAATTACCAGAGGACTTTGAAAGTTGCTGCAAGCAGATTTTAATTATTAACCACAGCACTGCATAATCTTCAGTGTTTTACAGAATGTTCCATTTTGAATGTCAGTAAAACTTGCTTATACAACAGCAATTCAAGTATTGTATTTCAGCGACTGTTTCCTTACTTTTTAAATTTTGCCCTCTGTAGGACCCTGAATCATCAATACGACTATACATTTGACTGGACAATGTTAAAGCAGAAAGCCGCACAGCAGGCAGCCTCTTCCAGTGGGCAGGGGCAGCAAACCCAAACTCCCACAGGCAAGCAAACTGACAAATCCAAGAATAACATGAAAGGTTAGTAGCCAAGAACCAAGTGACGTTACAGTCCAAAAATAATAAACACTAATTTGGATCATGTTGGTGATAAGTGTTAGCTCAAGGAGGTCATTAAAAACATTTATTTGGCTACTTAGTATTAAAAAAAACGGACGTCCTTGGAAAATTTGACTACTAACTTTAAACCAAGTGTCCTTGTTTTCATATCATTTCTTTGGGTATGTTGGGTCATTTTAACCACTGCATCTTCTGCTCCCTCATTAACCCCTCTTCAAAATAAACTGGCTTGGTGTTGGGAATATACTACGATCCAAAATCCTGGACCTAACACTTTAAGGGAGAAATTTTCTATTGACTTTTTGTATTGGGCCAGTCTGTAAGCAGCTTTGATATGGGTTTCTTTGGGGGAGAATAAAAACAAATGACTAAGAGGTAAATGTTTTCTTTGAATATACCCCCCTCCCAAACTACATTGATTTTATTATTTCGGTATTAATATTAATGTACTATTGTGAGCCACAGAGAGGCTTAGGAAGCAACATATGCATTATTATATAAATAAATGAATAAAATTACTGTACTTTAAACTGTTTTTTAAAGAAATTAGGTCATAGATAACCTCAGTATGATGATAGCCTACATTCTGTGAATATTCTAACTAACAGTAGTACAGGGAGATGAGAGTTCACGTGTTCATGCACAAACACAGGCAAACCTTTCTCACCCTCTCCCTCATGAAAAGACAAAAAAGGCAGTGATCAGAGGATTTAGGAGGGTGGGTTAAATGTAGGCAAGAAAAGTCAACATATGTATATATGCGAGGGATATGAAAAAGAGGGAGAGAAATGGAAAGTAAACAAATTCAACTGAAATTACTTTGACATTCCTGGGAAATCTGTTTCTAATTTTAATTGTACCTCTGTTTGAGATTTATTGACAAAATAATAAAAGAAATAACTTTCTATGGCAGCAGGCAGTAGAAGGATCCCATTTGGGAATATGTTAATTATGTTTCTGTATCTGTAAATAAGATGGGCAAAAATGCAAAATGCAAACAGTGTAACAAAGAAATGCAAGCCCTAAGTGCCCAAATGAAACATCATGAGGCCTCTTTGAAGACACTGAAAGCAAAATGAGTCAAGTCTACATATGCAAGATCTTCAGGTCAGTAAATACTATTGTCATACTTGTTAAAATTGGGGTTGTTTATTTTTCTCTGTTTTGGGATTGGTTTCTCTTAACTTTTTGAATTATGTACAAATAAAACTATAATCAATACTTTCATTTTGATTTAATTGAAATAAAGATGCATATTCCTTTTATAAGTGGATATTTATTAGTGCATGTAACAAAGAATATTAAAAGGAGCACAGTACTAACGATATTTTTTTTTTATTTAGGAGAATGCATACAGGACTCTGGTAACTGACTACATGCACCATTTTCAGTGTCAACATCACTGTACCATTTTAGAATTACCTGATTAGTATTATTCCAATTACATCAAATATGTCAGAAAAATATATTTGAAAAAGACTTTTAGCTGGAAAAAGAAGAATAAAAGTCTACCATCCCACAAGTAGGCACAGATAAATTTATGATAACAGATTACAGCAAGAGGTAATTGATGAAAAAAGTATCCTTTTTATGCAGCAAACCCTCTTTTCCTTATGGATGAGAACACATACATCGTTGATGCAATTCAATCTCTTTGACCAGGATGCAGTCTACCAAAGCAAAGCAAAGATCATAAGCACATTGTTGGATAAAATGTATAAGAAGGAAATAGAAATGTGTGCAAATAATCTAGAAGGAATCACTGTTTGTCAAAGCTTGTGACGAGCATTCACGGTAATCCAATCATACATGCTTCTGAATCAATAGAAAAAAAGGATCATTTCCTTACTGAAATAATTGAGACATCAGTAAAAGTATATATTATTGAATGCTTGCAAGAATTCCAAACTCTAAGAATATTTTTATTAAAAGGCTAATAGCATTTTTGTCGTAATGCTGCAAAGATAACCAGGATGAGAAGAGATACAGAAATCAAGAAGACCAAAACCAATAAAATACCATTACAGTGCTTAGTTGAAGATCCTTCAAGCAAATACTCCAGTTGTTCCAGAAGTTAATATTGCTGAAATTGTAAAATATACGTACTGTACAATAATTTGGTAACTGCTGTTCTGCAAGCAAGAGGAGTCATTTTTACACACACCATTCAATAATACTAATTAGTAATTATTGAGCAGTATATAAATGGTGACCTAATGCCACTTAAACAAAAATAAGGGAAGTAGAAGTGGAAAAATAGTAGCCAGAATTTTTTAAAAGATGGGGCTAAAGCAAAACACCGAACATATGCAGTCTCTCTTGAAGCCTGTTTCCATAGCCCTTGGAACTAAGTGCAAGAAAATTGTTATTTTTTTTTCTGCTGCTGTGTTGAAGTGCAAAAGGAACTGACTGAGATTTTTAAATTGTAATTTCCAATGATGGAGTTAAATTGCAGGCATTAAAATGAACTATTTCCAGCTCATTTTCTTGTCACTATTTTCAGTATTCAGTATGTATTGGGGCAATCTGTAACTGTTAAAGTAAAGGAGTTGGTTATGACAGGGAGAGCCAGCAATAATCCTTTATTAATACCAACTGTACTCAATTTCAGGCTAAGTCAGACTTCTTTAAGGAACATTTTTTCTTATGGAGTTTTAAAAGCAAGTACTCTTAATGACCTGTATTTGATTTCAGGTTACTGAAGTGATAATCCAGTTTCTAACAACAGTATTCTCCTTCTCTGCACTTTTAAAGAAAGATCTTTCCCTTTTTTCTTTTTTCTCCTTTTCTTTTCTTTTCTTTTCTTTCTTTCTTTTTTTTGCATTCATTCTAAATTCAGAAGTAATTTGGGATTTGAAAAACAGGAAAGCTTTTTCCCCAGATTATGAATCATGAGAGTTGAAGAATGATGTGTTCAGTGTTTTCACTTGGCTGAAGTTCCCTGTTCAACTCTTAAAAAAACAGCACTTTATAGCTAACTGTTCAGAAATATATGTGGCTGTTACTCAAATATTGAGTTTATTGAACACCAGAATAAAACAAGTTGATTGATATTACCTAAAAATTAGTGAGTAGTGGTGATGGTGACAAATGTTCTCCCAGTAGACTATGACAAAAAATCCACTCAGATGCCACTAATTAATTAAACATCTGTTTTATAGGAGAGTGCATGAAATGGAGAAAGTGCTGGATTGTTAATAGGGTAGAAGCCTATGGATGGAAGTGAGGAGAAGGAAGAAATACGTTTCCAACGGTGGAGTTGGAAACAGAAGGCGATCATGTTGGGGAAGATTATAGGAGAAGGAGGACAAGGGCAGGAAAAAAAGAACTGGAGTTGGAGACTGAGATGTCGGGGAAGAGAAAGTGTTATGTAAAAATTTGGTGTAGGAGACAAGTATTGGAATATTTATAGTTTCTTGGGGGGAGAGTTAATGGTAGAAAGGGTGGAAGTAAAGGTGATTATAATAAGGGACGTTTCTGTGAGTTAGTGTGGAAGATCTGACAGAATGGTATGGATTTAATGTTGGGAAGGAAACTGGGGAGTAAGTAGTGCTGAGAGAGATAGCCACTTTCCTCTTTAGGTTTTTTTCTTGAATGTTTACCCTCTGCCATGAGTGCCATTAATTTCTTGCAATCTGATCTCCAGCTGTTTGACAGTCTTGCTGATCACTCCCCTCTGCAGTTTTTATCACAGCCACCTGTATGCAACAAACTGGATTGAATGTTGGGCCCTTTTTGTAATGAAGCCTATTATCTCTAACTCAGTGTCCCCATTTGTTGTTCTTGTAGGATCTAAATTGATAGGGCAGGATATTTGTTCAGGTGAGCGTGGGTGAATGTGAAGGGATGGAGAGATAACATAATGGGCCTGGAGCAGATTATTCCAAGGAACAGAGTTAGACAAATAGTGTCATCCCTCTCTGGCCATCAATTTAGTGGAGGGGGGAGGTGCACCAGTAATTCATCCCTGACCTCTCTTCTATTAAATGCCTGATTGGTGGCTAATAATATCCATCACTCGAGGGATCTCATTCAAAATGGTGATGCTGATTTGGTTTGTGTGATGGATACTAAGTTATGTCACTTGAACCCAGATTCTTCCACCACATTTCTATGTGCTGTATCAGATACATGATATGAACTGGGAAGGAAGATTCCCATTCCAGAATTCTATGTTTTTCCAGGCTCATGCTATAGGAGACCATGAGATCTGAGTGTATGTACCTGGATGCACCAGATTTGAGGTTCTCAGCTCAGGAGTTTATGGTTACCATGCCTTCCATGGCCCTGTCGCAACAGTCATCCAATTCTGTTCTCCAAGCAGGATGCATGCTGTTTTTGTAAACCCTTGTCATGAGGGATCATCATTGGGCTAGTGTATATCTGAGGGTTCCATCCTTCTCCTGTAGGAGTATAAAGCTGGTTTTGAGCTTGTAGCAGCTTCTAGGTCCAGTTGAATTCCAAAATTTGCTGGTGGGTCGGTTTACTATGATACTGACCCTTATAACAAGCATTGATGGTAGCATGGAATCTTTGCTTGTTCCAGACTATAGATGATTTAGTTCATAAGCAATCTTTACTTTCCCATTTTGTCCATAGATCTTGATTTACTGAGGAGCTGCAGGTTATGAAGTAGGCAGGGAGATGTCTAGTATGCAGGTGGTGGAAATCCAGAAGTGAATACAATTGAGCACAGCTTATAGTACATTAGAATGCATACCCTGTGGTGCTGAGAGGAGAAAAAGAGTGTTTTCTCCATCATTGCACCTGTTGAAAATAGCCCAAGAGAGCTGACATAACCTTAGGGTTATAGAAGGCATCTTTGAGTCCTCAGTAGAAAATTGGCTTTGTGATTTTTTTTTCCAATAGAGTTGCTCATATCCAGTCAGATTGAAGAAATCATTATTAAGAGAATTGGAAGGATAATAGTGCATGTGTTTGCCCACTTTTATTAGATAATTTTTTAAATTTCCTTTGAGGACATCAATAGGGTCCTTGGAAGAGCTTAAACAACTATATATCCATTGAACTCAGCTCCTGCTGGCTAGTTCTACCTAAGAGAGATTTACTGAGGGAGGTGTGATGTTATGTGATTGATGTCTCCCTCTCTGAGGACATGATGCTGACTGCAGTAAAGGAGGCAGTGATGTACTTTTGTTTTTGTTTTTTTAAATAGATACCTCCTGGTTGACAGCTATAGTCCAGCATCTAATTCAGTGTTGGCCATAGGCCATGGTGGCTGAGTAACTAGGCATTCCTGGATGATACTGATTATCTAAATTTGTTTCAGTCTCATTTTACAGTGACAACTTTGGTCTGCCTGATGGACAATATGTTGAGGGAATACAATAGAGTGTCCCTTTTTTAAAAAAGCGGGGGGGGGGGTTTTAATCTATAGCAAGGAAAAAGATAGTAGCCAAAAATAAATACCAATAGAAGTGGCAACAGAACTAAAGCAAAAAAGACAAGGAAAGAATGATGCATGTTATAATTAATTTTATTTATTTATTGCAAGCATTTATATGGTTACCCAACTTAAGCAATGTACAGTGGAACTCAGGTTTTACAAGTTACACTTTGACCACACAGAATCTTATTAATAAGATTTTCCAAATGTTAATAAAAAGTCAATTTGCATGTAGAATGTATAGAGTCATCTTTTATACATGCCAGCTTGTTTTTGGTATCATTAACTGTAGTATCTTTGTGGACTGCCCAAGGGAGTGGTAGTTGAGGCATGGCTTCATTTTGACTGACTCCTATCTTGAACATAGATGCCAGATGGTAGTTTGGGGGGGAAGTATTGCTCCTCCCTGCAGTAATATGTATATGAAGTTGCTGAGAGTACAATATGAGAGGTGGGCTGTCTCTGTAAACCAGAGCTATGAATTCTAGAAGGCTAACAGAAATAATGATGCAAAGTGACATTTAGCCTCTGGTAGAAATAATAGCTAATGCTTTGCTTCAGAGTAAGTAGTTTTTTGTCCTTTGTGAGAATATGGGGCGGGGTGGTGGTGAAAGTTTAACTGGAAGTCTTTTTACCCTGGGAGTAAAAAAAAGAGGAATAAAACATGTAAAATATGGACCTTAAAATGCCAGAAACTGATAGAAGAAAAAAGGATAATCTTCAATAATGTGTTCAGGTGTAAAATAAATGATATAATTATGGTGGTATAAAATGCCTTTATGTGATAAAGTTGTCTGATATCCTTTTACCCAGAGGATCAGGGAAGATGAAGCAGAGGTGAACTTACTGGTCTTATTTTAAAACCCAGTCTTGTCTAGAACCTAGCTGATCTTGGCTAATCTAGAATGCTGTGTTGGATCAGATCTAGTTAGATGGAAGCCCAGAGCTGTAGGTTAAACTGCAAAGTAGAAAGTAATGGCAGACAGTTCTGTATCATGTCAAGAAACATGCGTGGATGTTCCACTGTAAATCACCAGGAGTTTACCTTGATCAAAGTTGTCAGCTGACTTGTAGTGGAGTTGGGACTGGCATGCCATCATAGATGTTGACAAATAGTTTCTAATTTCTTTGCTCATTTGAGTTCCCTTGTTCTCTTACTGTGTGCTATCCAACAGAACTACTGTCACTGTTTCCAAAATAATACCCGTTATTCTTAACAGCCAAATAACATGGATTATAGGGTGTTTTTGTTTGTTT